GAATGCGAATCTGTCACACCTTCCACACGCCGTGCGGCTCCTCCCAAAGTGGCGCAAAGGCAGCTGGCCCAGAACCGGGAGGCTCATTCTGGTCCATTTCTGGGTTGCCTGTGGGGTTACTTTTATTGCTCCTATTAGTCAGAACTCATCATGACCCCAAGCATGTAAAGTGTGGCTCTTCCAAAGGGGTCAGAGATGAATGGAGGAGAAATGTGGAGCCCTGAAGAAGGAGAGCAGGATTTATGTTATGAAATAACCCTTGGAGTTCTTTTGTATTTGCTCTGGAATCAGTTCATGGATCCTGTGCCTTTGGAAGTACCCTGGTGATCTTCCTTAATAACTGCCACAACTGTTTTCATCTCATTTCCCCCAGATATTAGGCCATTATTCCAACCAAGTGTGTTTTGGACTTTAACCTGAGAATATGGCACAAAGTCAGAGTTTTTCCAACTGTGGGGCTGGCCCTGGCTCACTCATCTGAAAATCAGTGGGTATTTATGTATATTTATGTAGCCACATAGGCCTGCCTATACAAAGACTGCTTCAAAGCATCCTTTAGTTGAGTGCACACAGACATGCAGAACCCTCTGTGGTGAAGTCTAGTCTTGGAACCAGCAGACCTAGGCCTGACTCCTACTTCCATCTGATCTCGGCCCCACCCAACCACCCCAAGCCCCTCTCCTGTGGAAAATGGCAAAAACCAGGATATGAATGTCTTGTACACAGTAGATGCTCAGTAAATCTCCCTCCATTTGGAGAAGCTGGATAAGGGAAGTGGAAAGAAACAGAGCGTCCTGGGCTCATTGCCTTTATGTCCTAAGGAAGGGGGACAGACAGGGAGAAGAGGAGGAAGGGAGGGAAGGAAGGAGAGAAAGTAGCAGGGCCTTACGTAAGTTATTTAACCTCTTTGAGGCTCAGTTTCTTTATCTATAAAATGGGGATAATAAGCTACCTCATTTAGTCGTTTTGAGGATTGAAAAAGACAGTGTATAAAAAATAGCCAGCATGGAATGTCATTTATAGCTTGATAAGGGTAGCTACTGTCTTGACCAGCCCCCCAGCACCTGTTTCTCTTTGGCATCTGGTCTACCCCCTAACGTTTACTCTACTGACGCGGCACGTAAGCACTATAGACACATAAACAAAAAGCTGAGGTCTCTTTTCACTTTCATTTTAAAAAGCACCGATGCATTGATGACGCCGTGAACAGCACTAGACGTCATCTGACCACGAGATGATGTTTCTAACATTGGCGCTAAGGAGAACCGTGGGACAGGCCAGTCCCCGGGAACTAGGGCAGGTTCTGGGACTGCGCTATTTATAGGCCCAGACAAGAGGCAAACCGAGTGTGGTTATTTCTCTACCAAGGCTGGGCCTCCAAAACAAGAGCCTGTGGTCGTCAGGAACCAAAACTGAGTCAGAAGCACAAGTCACCTGTGCCGCTCAGTTTTCCCTGAGAGAGTAGGTGCGGGGTGAACAAGCAGGTCACTGTGGCGTTTGCTCTCCAGCGCTCCGCGGAGCCTGAAGTCCCACCGCCCCAGCCTGGGGGGGGGTTGGGGAGGGGTGCGGGGTGGGAACTCCCACAGAGATATCTCATCTCTCATTCACTAAAATCCAGGTGACTCGTCGCTTGTCTTCCTAGTCATCCAGAAAGGGTCACTCTTCCAAAGGCCACATTCACTGGCAAGACTTCTTAACAGGGGCATTCTGACTTTTCAGAAAAAGGCCAAAGTCAACATCGGAAAATCATTTTTCTGGTCCGCAGTAATAATAGCCACTATTGGTCAAACTTTCCCGTGCGCCAAGCACCCTACTTGGGGCTTTACGTACAATTCTGATTTTATTCTCAACAACCCTAGGAGGCAGGTATTTACTGCCATTTTACAGGTGAGGAAAATAAAACTGACAGACATTGAGTGAACACCCGCCCTGGGGTCTACTCACCCCAGCGGGGGCTCCCACAACCACCCTCCCTGCTCTTCCCAGGTCTGCACCCAGTGATCTCACGCTGGTAGCTGGAAATCGGTCACAGTGGGAATATTTACACCGTGGAAACCAGCCAACAGTACGAATTGGGCCCTCCTGTTTTTCTTGTCCTTTTTTAAACCGCTGAAGAACTGTTTGTTAAATATTCGCCAGCCACTAAGTGGGCAGAGCCCGGATTCAAATATAAGTCTCTGTCCTCAAGTTCATGCTCTTTCCAGTTCATTCCCAGGAGCAAAGCGGCTCTCGCGCGCGGAGCCGGGTCCTCAGGCAGCCAAGCGGCTGGGAGAGGGCTCAGCGCTGGCTGCCCAGGTCCCCCCAGGAGGTGCCCAGGTATTATTAGTCAACACATTGGAGTCCTTCTCCTCGTCTGTGCTGAGCCAAAGATTCAGCTGAAATTACACGGGCTGGCTAAGCTGGCGACAGGATTTACGAGGTAATAATAATGTGCTCTCCTATATGGCACTTTTCTTCTTCAAAGCATTTTATACTCATTTACTAATTAGTCCTGCACTGCACTCTATGCGGGTACGATGCTCGACGATGGGCTGAACTAGCGAGAAGTGTTTAAAACCACACAGGGGACTGTGTGCCCTTTACAAGCACCCCTGGCTTCTGTGGCTGGTAGGGGTGGCGCTAAAGCTCACAGGTGCGGGTTTTGAATCCATGACACTGGACACACGAGGCGGCCATTGTCACCTTCTGTTGTTTGGTTGCCTCCTAAGAAAATCAGCCCCAACCCTCGTCCTGCGGTAAGGGGGATGAAAGTCCGTTTAAAAGGCAGAGAATCCTCACTCTCACAAACCTATACAGAGCATGTCATCCTGCGCTGGGAAAGAACACCGAAGCGTCAGTGTGTTATAACGGCCAGGACGTGGACGTACTGAGCAGTAGCGCCGGGTCCAGGGCCAGGAGCCTGGGCTGAGTCCCAGCTCTGGCGCTGACTGGCTGGTGGCCGTGGGTGACTCGCTTCACCTCTCTGATCGCGTTTCCTCATGGGTGGGACGGGGGCCGCACGCCCGCTTGCTTACTTCACAGGTCGGCTGTGAGATGCTCTGAGGTCAGGCGGGTGACAGCCCTTCCCGGTCAGTGTGCCTGCTTTGCAGATGTGTGGGTGTGTCTCCGACGGGCCGGCCGGCCTGAGTGTGTGTGTGCCCCCCGCCCCGGGTCACACTACCCACTACTGGCGGCCGTCACGTCTGCCGGGCTATCTGAAATGCCAAGGGTCCGGGCCAGCCACGCGACCTCACCCCGTCCCCACATCTGCCAACCGCCCTCGGCTGGAACTGGTGCTGGACTCCCCTACTGGGTCTGAACCACACCCTGACGCAGGCAACTCTTGGCTCTGGGGGCCGCGAGCCCCATCCATGCCCCTCCATGGGGGCAGATGGCCACAGCAGTCCTAAGTGACAGTGTCATGGGGCGGAGTGAGGGACGCTTGGCACACAGCTGCGCTGAGGTTGAGTGGGCAGTCGGCTAGCCAGGGGCAGCAGAGGCTCCAGGGTGGTCAGCGGGCTTAGGGCTCAGAGGAATCACCTGGGGAGGGTTATCAAAGTCCCGATGTCCCAGCCCCAACTGGTGAAGAACTGGTTCAGCAGAACTGCAGGGGCGGCCTGAGCAGCAGTGCTCGAGACAGCTCCCCGGGGGGCTCCCGAGGAGCTGAGTCCTTGTACGACACAGAGAAGGGGCTCCCTCTAGGTCACACAGCTGGCTAAGGGCACAGCTGGGGTGTGGACCCAGGGCACTGGACTTTCCTCTGTCATGAGAGTTCCCAAGGTTCCGGGGCAGGGGGCAAAGTACCCACACCGAGTAAGAACCCAGAGCTGGGCAGTCGTCCAGCTGGTAGCCAGCAGGGGTGGTCTGTCCAAGCTCTTCTGCCTCCCGGGAATATTCCTGGGTGCTGGAGGATACAGGAAGGAGAGGTAGCCCTCCGTGGTCCCGCCAAGGGCCCTGAGCTGGCTCCCTTTCAGGCTCACACGGTAAAACCGGGTGCCAAGAACCACAAGGGGAACCAAGAGAACGGCGAGAGGCCCGGTAAACCCGAAAGGTGCGCTGGGGCTTCACCTCTGCCTGGGAAGGCAGGAGGGCTAGGGAAGCGCACAGGCCAGGCAGGCCAGCTGATCGGTTCTCTCCCCTCTGCGCGCACGTCCCACTTCCCTATGTGGAAAGCCATCAGGATGCAACAGCGCTAAGCAAAACCGTAAGTCTTGTCAAGGGGTCAGCTTGGCTATCCTCAGCTTGTAAGCTAAGGGAAGTCGTGTGATGGTAAGGAGAGGCCTGGCCACCACCTCCAGGTCTCCTCCCAATTTGCCTGGAGAGTTTCTGTAGCTCTGGGGCCTTACTTCTCTCTATACACGTAAGGGAGCAGCAGGGGAGAGGGCCGGGGGTGAAAACGAGGGGAGTTCTCAGACTCCGTCAGGCTCTGACAATCCGTAAATACAGGACAAGCGGAACTTCCTCAGGGTATCTGCCCCTGCTCTGTTCCTGGATGGTGGCAGAGAGGCCTGAGCCCGGATGTCACAGATACGCCAATGACGGCCCACAAGACCCAACCTCTGTCTTCCAGGTATAATGCGCTCAGGGCTGCAGAAGCCCAAAGAGCGCTCCCACCAGCCTAGCGAGGGCTGAGTGACGTGAGGGAGGGAAGGACGGATTCACTGGCCCATTCAGCAAACTTAATGACTGCCTCTGTGCATACAGCACACACACGGGGAGCTGCGGGGGGTGCTGGATCCCACGTGCTCCTGAGCACTGGCCGGGGGCCGGCAGGCTGGGTGGCTGAAACCATGCAGGATGGTCAGGTTTGTTCAGGCAGCGCCTTTTCCAATGGAGAGCCGCCCCAAGTGGGAAATGCTGGGGAGTAAAACACACACACACACACACACACGACACGAGTTTCAGGGAAAAATAAAAGCAAAGCGTGGTTTCATCTTAAGACTTAAACCCGGTCTCAGAGACAAAGGCTTTCCTGGAATAAGGGTGTGTGCATCTGTGATGTCTTACTTTCCCTGGAAAAATACTGTGTCAGAATTTGATTTTATTTCTTCCAACTAAGAAGTATACCGAAGGAAACAAAGAGGGAGCGACCAGCCGTGGGGGCTCGAGGATCCAGGTTAGCGCCAGCCCGCTTCAGTCTAGGCTCCAGGCGGGGCGTGCAAAGCTGCTGTGTGTGCAGAACGCTACCTTGAAGGCGTTCCAAGCGGCTTCCAGGAAGCGGCCATATGTGCTGACCCGCATGTGGACACAGCAGTCTGGCTGGCCACCTCTTGAGACTGGTGTTTCCTAGAGCTTTCCATTGGCAAACGCTGCCTCCTGGAACTGAGGGACAAAGGTTTTGAAATAAGCCCTGGTGGGAAAGAGGGGGAGAAAAAAATTGCGGTTAGCACAAACAACTTGAAAAAAAGTGCAACTCAGAGCTTTCAACCTAACTCAGAACAGTTGTTATTTATTGTTCATGCATCTTGGGTTGGATTCCCCTTCCCTGCTGATGCAAAACCCTCTGGATTTTTCCAAGGGAGGTACAAGCAGTTCACTTCTGTGCTATCGTGCACGGATCTTTCAAGGGCCTGTATGTAGACCTTCCAGGCTGCCAGGTCCTATTAGATGTCAGTACTCGGGCTCCCTCTGCCTCTCCCAGGCCAAAGACAAGGGCCTGACCCCCGAGACAAGCCAGACAGTGGCCAAGCCAGCCACCTCGTCGTTTCTTGATCTGAAATATAAAGAGAGTTGTACTCTCCACTCAGTTGGATCCTTGACTTCATACAGACAAAGAGGGTCTAATAAAAAGGATTTCTAAGTGTTCCACGGTCTCCATTTATTTCCAAACATACGTGTAGCTTGGGCTACTGGATAGAAAGCCAGGCTGGGTATCAAGAGAAGCTTCCTTGGCCAGTCACGGATGGGTGACGTGATCTGGGGCAGACCATCGGGCCTTTCTGGCACCCAGATTTGATTCTGTAGGGATGGGCTCCACATTCTACACGGGCCTGCTCTGCCAGGCATGGTATGAGGTGCCAGGGGCTGCCAGGGGACCTGGATGGGGCCCCTGCCAGGCGGGAGATCCCAGTTCAGAGGAGGAGGCAAACACATCGGTAACACCAATCGAGGCGGTAAGGACACGTATGGAGGAACCTCGAGGCGCTGGGCTGGCGAGACCAAGGAAGGTGGAGGAGGAGTAGACATTATGGGTGTTCTAGGCAAGAAACACGGCAGGGGGGACTGGGGGCAGCGGGCGGCCTGTCGTGAGCTGGGAACTCGAAGCTCTGCGGGAAGACAGCAGGTGAGGTAGAAAGTGGAGGGGCAGGGTGGGCACCCCTTGCCCCTGGTCACCCTGGCTTGCCACTTACTTCTCTCTCCCCTGCACTGGACTCACACGAGGCCAGAGTAGTCACACCTCACTTATCTAGAGTGGCTCACTCAGGACTGTGACATGAACCAGGAAGGGCCACCAAGAGGCCCAGTCACCACCAGTACCACAAAGGCCCCAAACAGGGCTCCTTCAGTGCCGGGGTGAGTACCCCATAGGCCCTGGGGTCCCACTGTGCAGTTACATGGTACCTGACTGCCTGCCCGCTGCCCCAACACCAAGTCAACCGAAACCTCTTCCACATGTCACCCCTTCTTCTGGCTTTCACAGCCCTGGCCTCCGCGGGCTCTGGGCAACATTTACATGCTGACTCCTCTCTCAGGGAGCCGTCCTCCCCGGGTGACATTCCACATCCTGGGTCTACCTCCCTTCTCCTTGCTGTGCCCCCGATGAACTCTCTCTCTGGAACCCTCCTGTCTTGCCCTCCATGCCCCTCATGCGTGGCGCTGTTCTCAGGCTCAGCCCCCTGAGCACAGAACCGCCCCATCTGGGCCTCCGGCCCTCATTTCTCCCCTGAACTTCCGTCCCACATTCCAGTCACCTGTGGGACTCTGTGACCTGGATGTCTCTGTAGTTTAAACCAGTGTGCTCCAAATGAAGGGCTCCTCAATATTGTCTTTGAATGTGCTTTGGCCCATTTGTGTTTCTGTACCAGAACCCTGTTTCCACCTCTCCCTAAAGCCCTGTGGTGAATTCATCCTGAAGGTTCTTTCTCTTCCCCCACAATGTCCCTCTACCCTTTGTGACACCCCCTGGCTCCTGGCCTTATTACCCTTCAACAGAACTGCTGCAGAATGCTGGTTCTCCTCTGGACGCAGGCCGACTTTGCCTGTCTGTTGCAACTAAATACATTTTCTTCACGTGTGGGCCTCTGTCACTACCCCGACCAAGACCCTGCATGCTCCCGAGACGTGCAGCCTGGCACTCAATGATTTTCAGTGTCTGGCTCCAACATGTCAAAAAAATTGTTTTTGCCCTTCCATTACATTTTTAGGCTCATGCACCCCTCCCTTGAAAAGCTAAGAGAGCTAAGGATCCTCTCCCAGAAAAACTGCAGGTAAGTTCCCCCCACAGCAATGAGGGGATGTCACAGAACCCCCGATGCCCATGCATGGTCCAGGATGCAAGCCCCCCACTCCAATCTGGCCACCCACTCTTCTTCACACATGCCGTTTTCCATCTCATGCTCAGGCCAAATGCTCTGGCTCCTACCAAGTCTTCCCTGGTGACCAAGAGGTTCTCTCCTAGCCTACAGACAATCTCTGTGCTTCTCCCGGAGCGTTTGTCACATGCACGTATGTGGTACTTGCCAGGCTGCACGGTGGGCCCTAGGAAGCAGGGACCCCACGGGCCAGCCCACGGACAGCACTCAGCGAGACCTAAGTGGCTATCATTAACGTACCTACTGATGGCCACCGGTTTGCAAGAAGAGTTAAGGCATGTTCATGACATGCTGCTTAAAGTGAGGGAGAGTGGCCTCAGAGAGTGAACAAATGTGGTATTTAGGTACTGAAAAAGAAGAAACAGTCCAGTCTCAAACTTCAAATTATGCCAACAGTGAGAAAGGAAGATAAAGCACCCTCTCCCATCTACATCCTGTTTGACGTGGTCCTGAGCCAGCGAAACCGTGGCCGTCTCTGAGCTCAAAGCCCTTTTCTGCCGGTCCTTATGGCCCGGAGGGACCTCGACGAGGCTGGAAGTGCCACAGCCCTGGAGCGAGGCTGGGCGGGCAAGGGAAGCCCCGAGCTGTGTTTCCCCCGTGAGCAGGGGTGATGAGCCCACCCGGACGGGACGCCTGCACGGGACCGTGTGGGAAGGGACCCTGCCAGCTGCCTGCCACCGCCCACAAGTGCGGGCCACTCATTCCTCCCCCATGTTCCATCTGCGGCTGTTCGCCCAGTGACACGCATGCGTTCGCCGGAGGGGAGCCTGGTGGCCCGTCCTCGAGGGTCAGCGACGGACAGGCGGCTGCCAACGTCCACTGCATTTGCTCTGCTGCTTCAAGTATCCTGTGCAGTGTGGCCGACCCCGGCACCCCTGGGCAGGGCGGTGTCCCCCCCCCAAGGTACGAATTGGCCCCGAAACATGCACCTGAGCAGGTGCGCACCAGGGCGGAGAGCACCCGCCCCACCTCCGCGCTCTCCGCGCTCAGGCCCAGAGTTGCGCGGCTCCTGAAGCAAATCTCTGATCAGCTCGGTTTTTCCTTACAAAGTTCTGGGGTGGGGGCTGCAACAGTACCAGCTCCTCAGACCAAAAGGTCTTGGCAAGAGGGAACCTGCTTTAGAGTAAGCTCTCTCCTTCTTCAGAAAGTTCTGAAGTTTCCCGTTCTGCCCTGGGCTTTCCCTGCCACGGCGAGCCACGTGCCACCAAGGGGAAGCAGCGCAGAGAAGGGCTGCTGAGAGGCATGAGGCTCCCAGCTGTTGTCAGGGAGTGCTCTCCCCTGGGCTCCTCACGAAGTCACTTCAGGGAGAGGGAGGAGGGCGAAGGGGAAAATGACACTGTGCTCCCACCCATTTACAGATTTTTTTATTTTTTCTTTATGTACTGTTTTCATTTATTTCACTCTTTATCAGAGAAAACGGAGACCTGCCCAGGGTATAGCTTGCCAAAGGCACTAGTTATCGGTCACCTTTTAAAAAACTTTGACCCAAAGACAGAACGTATGGCAAGCTTTAAAGTGTGGTGGGCGGCAGGTCGGGGAGGGCCGGTCTCCTCACCTCCCGCCCACGGCCAAGACGAGCCAAGGGGAGAGAGGCCCTGAGTCAGTCAAACTCATCATTCTATCTACTCACGCTGGAAGGGAATTTATTTTTAGACCAAATTCGAGCTAAATATGCCTCAGGACAAAATAAGGTTCTGACCGTCTTCACTGGTTGTAGTCCCTCTGCTCTGGGTGTTATAAAATCAGAGCTCAGGCCAATCTCAGAGTCTCAGGTGAGAAGAATGAAACTTCAAGAACTGACCCCAGGCCGAAAGCGAAGCTGGGTAGGTTTTCCACGAATTCAGAGCCGGAGCGGCTCTCGGCCAGGCGTCGGCTCCCAGGCACGGCAGGGAGCGAGGTAGACAGACCCCTCCGACCAGGAGTCAGGGAACGGGGTGCTCAGCAGGAAATCTCTCCTCTCTCCAGGCATCAGATTCCTCATGTACCAAGCAGGGAGCTGAGCCTGGTGATCTTGCAGGCCCTGTCGGCTGTGGGCCGTGAAGGACAAGGTGGTGAGTGTGGTGTGCTCCCCGGAGCCTGCCACACCTGGGCTCCGGGCCCGGCACTGCTCCTTATTGGTTGTATCACTTGGGCAAGTGACTCACCCCTTTAGCTTTAATTTCTTCAACTATCAAAGGGGAAAAATAACCTTAAATTGCCTCAAAGGGTTATCCTCACGAGGATTAAATGAGATGGTCCAAGTCAGCCTTGGCCTGGTGCCTGGCTTAAGAGATGATCAATAGAGGTCAACTGTTCCCATGGAGACCAAGCTGGGTCCGAGGGCAGAGGCTGTGAGTCTGTGGGAACAGCTACAGCATGTGTGGCTGCAGAAGAGGGAGCCCCTGTGTGGAAGAAGCGGGCCTTGGGTCCCGCCCTCAGCTCATCCTTTCCGCCGTGGCTTCTTGGGTAACTTGTCAGGAGGCCGTGCGTCTCCTGAAATCCGGGCCAGAGCTGCTAGTCGCACAGCTGGGTCATCGAGGGCTGCACGGTGCGCTGAAGGGCACCTGCAGCCTCTGCTGTCTTCTGCCCAAGCCGTGCCCCTGGGCCAGGCTCCGGTCAAAGGCTTGGTCGGGGAGGGGGCGGCGGCTGGGAACTAGAGGGACGTTTAAGAATCCCGGGGCTCCGGTTGCCCAGGATGGGGGTATCAAAGTGGGCTGGGTCCCCCAAGAGATCTTCTGTTCAGGGCAGTATGTACCGTAAGGGGGAGTCAGTGGGTCAAGTGGAAAGAGTCCTGAAGCATGAACAGAAGACATGGGCTCTAGTCCAGGCTTTGGCTTGT